TTGAATTTATTTAATACACGAGTTTCACAATTTGAGTTGAATGAAATAAATGAACTTCCACGACATTCTAATTTATTGAGATGCACCTGTATATATGTGTGTGTGTGTGTGTGTGTGTGTTTTATTTCAGTTAAAGTTCATTTTATTTCAAGTAACAAAAATGTTTTTAATGGTTTTAGTTTTATTTAACTGTAATAACTGTGTTAAGGACAATGCAGAAGTGGCATTTGAATTTTCAGTGATCAGCGATCATCTTTTCTAACCACATTCGACAAGCCTTATATTATTTTTAATTCATCTGATTTAAATTACAAACATTTAACAGAAAAAAAGGGTAATTTGTTTACAGATGAAAACTGCATTAGATGCAAAATATCAAACCAATGACATAAACTAATGGTGTGACGTAAAATTCCAAATACTTTTTGTAACAACTGCTTTGATCAAATTAAAAAGCACCTTGATTGCACTAATGTAACCGAATACACCATTATAAATATATGCTTTACCAGGCACTACAGAATTGCTTTCCTCTGTGAAATTTATTGAAACCGTACTGAGCACTGACGACTGTTAAATATCAGTGGTGTCTGGTGCAAAACATCACAGGAAGAGAAACCGTCATTGTTGTCATTATGCTAGAGGGGACGGTTTCAAATGTCACAGACATCAGCTTTGAATATCATCATCCCCAAGCTGCAAATTCAGATGGGTCATATGAACAACAGTTTCTGAATGAAATATTCATTCTAATATAATGCAGCTCCAAAACGACAATACATTTTCATAACAAAGAGCCAATCCATGATCGGAAGTGAAAAAATAATAACAGCTGGGCACATTTACGCCTTGACAAGTCACGCAAGAATGTTTCTCAGCTGCTGACACTTTAGGAAGATTTGGTAATGTAACCTATCACCCCTCACATCTGAAGGATTACAGGCCCCATCTGGACGGAGCAGGGCTTCAGAGGATAAAGGCAGGCCCCTCCCACTGATAAAGCCTTTAGAGATGCCAAAAATACATATATTAACTCAAATGTGCTACTCACAGCTGAAGTAGTAAGCCGCAGAATGGAGCCGTTTTTGATGTTGTTGCGATTCTGTGAAAAAAAAAAAAGAGGAAAAGAGGTATTGTTATGCACTGGTATATGATGTTTTTTTTTTTTAATTGCTGAGCTTTGCAATACAGCTTATTTTCGAGATTTAGCATTTAACCTTTTCAGTGATGTAGAAGTTGGTTGAGTCAGCATTCTGCAGGGCAAAGGTTTCAGGGTTTGGCAAGTTCCACCTAATGAGAGAAAATTCAGATGATCATCAGAGATTGCATTGATGTATACAGTGATGTGTGTTGCTGTGTAACAAAAACAATCAGCATCGGTGAAAAAGGTGATAGCGACAATTTTTTGGGAATCAACAGCTGAAATTATTTTGGAAGATTCTTATATTAGAATACAGCTACATGTGGTTAACGGTAGCAACGTTCTTTTGAAACAACATCAGTGGTAATATCAAATAATTCAAGTTTTGACAAAAACAAAAACAATATATCATATAAAATCATAAACCTCATATTTCAGCCTAATAAACGACTATTTATGCTGTTTATAATTGGTCTGAACAAAATAGTGGTGCTTATGGAAAAGCAGAAATACAGTGGTTGCCCCTGTAAACAAAGCAGCACTGCACTTATAAACACTGCTTTATTAGGCATCCCACTGAGGTAAGATGAGAAAGAAAGAAAATGCCACTAAATCACTTCGTTTCCTTCAGATACAAATCATGTGAACGGACTATGTCAGTGACAGACTGGCAAATTTTGCTTGTGAATTTGAGGAGTGAATGCAACAAAAAAACTAAACTCAATGCTTGTTACTTACCCCTCACAGACTTCTTTAATGATGGCTGAGAGAGGCTTTTTCTGCAGAAAACAAAAAAACAATAACAAAAGTTATTCCTGTATTCTTGGAGCTCATATTCTACCTTATTTCTTTATGGCTAATAAACATTCTTTATACCCAATAATACTGCTGCATTGACATTAGATTGTACAACTTTTGATCAAACGTTTTGTTGAGTCAAGTCAAGAGCAACAAAGAACTAATAAAGAATTTCAGAATAAGGATGAATGATGAATAAAGAACTTCAGGGTGATTTATGCAAGGTTTATGCAAGGAATAGTTCAGCCAAAGAGGAAAATCAAGTCATTATTTATTCACCATGTTTTTCCAAACCCACATTACTTATTCTTCTGTGAGGCACATAATTATTAAAGGACTAAGGGGTCTCTTTTTAGTGTTGCGTTTTCAGATATCAACAGCTTTGCTCATGAAATGTTAGTCATAGAGTATTTACTAAACTTGTCATAGAAGGTTAGTAAATTCTGACATAATGTACATTTGTGGGAAAAAAAGCAAACATACACTATTGTAAGTTACATATACATGCATGTAGATGAAGGTAAAGTCAGCCAAACGCACTGACCTGGTCAATCTCCATAAGTTTGGGAAAGGCCCCCGGCCACTCGATGGCCACCTTCACAATGTCTGCTGGGGCCGGCATGGCTGCGCTGATGGAGGATGTGGCCGCTCACTGCTGCCTGGCTCTCATCCAAGCCTGTAGAGGGAGATAGAGGGAGAAAGCTAGGGTTATACTATGCATACTAATTTATTAAACGTGTCTCTTTATCAAACTGATTAGTACAACCAGGGAGGGATGTCAAAAATGCCAGTACTTTGGTAATAAGTCAATGCTAAAATGTTACAATTCCAGTAATTTCGAAGTACAGGTAGATATCTCGATTAGATACCGGAGTGCTGCTGTTGTGATTTTATGTATATGCTCTATGGGTATCTTTCTTACTATCCACCTCCTTGTTATCCGTTACAACAACTGAATGAACATCAAATATTTGGTTGGAAAGCATGTTTGACCTTGAGGTCAGAACAGAGAGCTCTTTCTGTCACTATAGATAATTTGCTGCTAATGTGTAAGAGCTGACACTGAGGAATTTGTCTGGAAAACCTTGAAAATGTATTTCAGGAATGCAAAGCTTTGTCTGGTGCAGTGTCACTGTGAGAGATTCACTCGGAACGAGAACATTCCTCTTTTGTGACATTTGATACTGGGACATTTTAATTACTGCAGTAAGATCTACATACTTGCGTGTCTTTTAAACACGTCTTTATTCATGTCTGAATTTTGCTTTTAAACTAAAACTACTGAGATCAACTGCCATCAGACAATATATATATAGCAGCTATTCAGCTCAATGTGCTTTTAACATTAACACATTTAAATGAATGTTATAGAATGAAGTGCATTTACAGCACTAAAGTCTGGCATTTAAAAAAAAAAAAAAATTATTTGCAAGCTACAGCTAAAGTTTGCTGTCAAAGTTACAAGTTTCTTTAAAATCAACAGTGTTGTTCTATATAATCACAGTGTGCTGCTGAGTACTGAACAGTCATGGGATATGCAAACACAGGCCGTCATATATTACTGTGCTCATGGTTGTATGTCATGATGACAAATCGACATGTTGACAAAATGACTAATTTTTGCCGTTTAGTTTATATAAATAGTCTTGGTGGATTGCTGACTGCAGCTTTGTATTGTGATACAATTCAGTACACTGAACTCTTGATTTCAAAAGAGCGAGGGAAATGTTCTTTTTCCATGATATGGACTATTGGCTGAAATTAAACTGACTATTTTCTTTTAGCCCATTTCAATCAGCAATAAAGAGCAACATGAGCAAATCTCTAAAGCACATTAACAAATAAAGTCATTTGCACTAGAAAGACATATAGCTGTAGTCAAACTAACGGAAGTTAATTCCAGCTCAATTTTCCTTAAGTATCTGGCTCGCAATATTTACTTAACATTATTATTATTGCATATAATGAATATGAAAAAAATAATATATGTCTGAAGTCTCAAAATGTGCAACACAAAAACAATAAAACAGTAAATCTTCTAAAAGAAAAGGTTAGGTGAGCCCATAAAGAGAAATTGACATCCGTTAAATCCCTGTGTGCATTATTTAGCACTCCTGACACTCGGGACAGTGCGGATCATCTTTGGTCTTTGTAGATAATCCCCGTTACATTTTTAATCCCCCATTCCATAATGCATGGGGATGATTCTTGGAGAGAAAACAAGAACACACGCAGCCTGTGAAACAAGCATTCATTCAACCCATTCAAACAAGCTGCCATGTCACTCTGCCATGACTCATCCCATAATAATCTCCACAGACACTACCCAGGCTCTGTTGCTATGGCATCTGCTCCATCAGAAGTTGCCTCTTTCCAGGGTGGTTCTCTTGGAAAGGTTTCATTCCTGGTAAGAAGTTTCCCCATTACAGATGGCATGATTTCAAGCTGACAGAAGTCAATAAATCTCAGTACCAGGATTTATGTAAAGCTCTCAGCTGTCGTTCAAATGGACAGAATAGCTGCACATAGTTGTAATTTTTATCCTTTGGTCTTATATGATTAGAGATACTGTAAACAAATTAAGAGAAAAAGGAGTTAATGTTAATTTTAATTTAAAGGGCAACTTTATTTATTTATTTACTTATTTAGGTTTTTTTTTACACAGCATGCATACTACAGACCACTTGACCTTCACATTTAATAAAAATAATAATATTGGTACATAACCTAAAGCATGCTAATTATCATGATAAATTAAAAAAAATAATAATTATCACGATAATCGTCTTCTTTAATCTATATTTAAAGTTTAAAGTGAGATTTTTGCTCCGGTGAAATTTGTGGAAACCAGATAGTAAACTGTTTTTTCTTTATTGTCAGACTATGACAAACACATGAATAAAAACTTGCTACAAGCTGAATACAAACTTGTTTTCATGACAGATTTATTCAATCATAGTAACACAACAGGTTAAGTAATAATCTAATGAATATCTAATATTGTGCATATAGTATTTAGCAAAATGCTCCTCTCTGGAGTTATTTTTAGTAGCTCATCATCAAGTTTATGGACACCGAATGGCTTTCCTGAGGTAAATGCTGCTTGAACTGAGGTTGCTACAACCTACAGCCACATTAGAAGAATGAGCTTTATTGCCAGGTATGTTTACACATACGAGGAATTAAGGAGCACCAAAACCACATGAATTGTTTGTATTTCATGATAAAATTAACTGAATTTGAAAGCTGGGAAAGCAACAAAGCTTATTGTGATTATTGAATGGCAGGAGCGCTACAAATAATGTTTAGTGAAGTGCATGCATCAACAGAAAACAGCATACACTAGACCAAAAGATTGATCTTGAGATTTAAGAATCCATATCAGCATTGATTAAAAATGACAAACCGTAAATCTAGGTAATGAATCTAAATAATCCAGTCATAACATGGCGAGAAACGCTATTTAAACATCATTGTCAATGATTCTGGCCCTCTAAAATTATTTACTGAAACTGAAAAATTACTGTTTTGAACATTTCGGCCTATCACTCATTTGCGTAGTGCATAAAATGGTATCAAAAGTTTGATTAATTGTTTGATCTAATGTTTATTATCACAGATGAGGATAAAAGAGTGCATTTTTTTTGGGAAGAACACATTTTTCACGCTTTTGGTCTTAATGTGGCTGTTAGAAGAGCATCTACTTAAACACAGATATGGTCATGAAAGGGCTGCAAGACTGAGGATCTCTCAATTTCATTTTTTCTTTAAATATTTATGCATTCTACTTCTTATTTTTCTAGGTTTGGCTTCACTACAAGAGAATACAACTCATGCACAAAGCTATTACAACATTCAAGTGCAAGTGGTTTTATTCCACACTGTTTGTTGGCATAACAGTAAAGCATGAAATGCTGGATATGTGGATACAACCACAAAGCCAGTGGGACACAAGCAACAGCCATGTAAGGTGCTTTCACCAAACCATGTCTAGTAAAGTATTTTTTCACTAAAGCATTCATGTCTTGTCCATCAAAAAGTTCTACAAAACAAAAGACAATTAAAGTGAAACAAATTTGCATATTTGATAGACGTGGTTTCTTAAACCTACACAATAATGCTGTTGAAAGGAACCGAGAAAAAAACAGACTGACGGGATTTGATTTCTTCAGAGGGCTTAATAGTCCAGTCATTTGAACAAGCAGGCCTGGAGATGCCTCTGTCTCTCTGATGGGGGCAGGGACACACAAAGCATCGCCTGCTCTTCCATTCAATCCCTTCTGTAAAACCCACTGAATTAATCGATCACTCTGGCCAGTGGCCATGTCCACCACTAGTTTCCCCGAAACATTCAGCCTTCACTGTGAGAAAAACTGAAGTGGAGAAACAATTTACACTATACTGCACATTAATATGACAGAGTTTCTTAGACATGTACAATGGCAATACCATGTTTTAGGACTTAAACCATGGTATCACCATGTTTTAGGACATGTACTGTGGCAATACTATGTTTTTGGACACATACCATTGTAATAACATGTTTTAAGACATTTGTCATTACAATATCATGTTTTTAGGACATGTTCCATGCACTCTCAGAAATTTTTTTTAAAAAGCTGTCACCTTTTCAAAAGGTACTAATATGTACCATTAAGGTACCAATATGGACTCTTTAGGGCCTTTCGCACCGCTTTAGTTCCAGAACTAAATGTACAGTACTAAAGTACTGGAACGATTTTGCGGGAACTATTTCCCAGTACCATTTAAAGGGTTACATTCGCACTGAGAGTGTGTACTAAGAAGTGACGTAAGCCGGTCGACAGCGACGTAATTTGTGCGCGGTGTTCAACCACAGAAACAAGAACAACGTTAACAACAGGAGGATGGAGGACGCTGTGATCAGAGCTGTGTTTTTGTTGTGTCTCGCAGGTTTCACAATAATGGACATGGAAAGTCGACGTATACGTAAAGCGATTGAAAGAACGGAAAGGAGGACTAAGAATCGTTTAAGTACAAAGGTGTGCCTTTTAAAAAGGGCAGGATTGGGAAAGGGCGTGAGCCAGGACTCGAACTTGGGTGGCCCCAAAGTGTAACAACGCTATGTCAACGTGCTGCCCACGAGGCTATCAGCGCCGACAGAAATATCAATTTTTTAGGACATGTACTATGCTATTGTCACACTTTAGGACAATTGCAATTTATGTACAATTCCAATACCATGTTTTGTGAACATAATACTACTATGCCAATGCCTTGTTTTTGAACACATACCATTACAATACTAGTTTTGGGTCATGTACTATGAAAATACCATGTATGTGGACATGTACTATGGTAACAACGTTTTACAGTGTGTACTACAATGTCTATACCATGTATACTATGGCAACACCATGTTTTAGGACAAGTACTATGGCACTACCGTGTTTTTGTATACATACCATGACAATATCGTGTTTTTGGACATGTACCATTGTAATACCATGGTATGTACATGTTTTAGGACACATAAAATTGCAATACCATGTTTTAGGACATGTAGCATGGTGTCATGTTTTTAGGACCATGGCAATAACATTTTTTTGGGGCATGTACTATAAAAATGCATTGGTATTCTTTGAAGTACCATGGGATACCTTGCAAACAATATGACACATATATGAATCTGATATCTGATATATGATATAGACATCAGATACTATCATGACACAGTCACAGTCATTTTAAACAAGAGACAAATGATAGCAATAATTTGAGCGCAGGCCACTCAAAAGCATTATTACAAACTAATCAGCCAACATGTTTTATTAGTATTGCTCAGAAATTACATAAACTAAATGTACTGTGTAGAATTATCAGTGATGTAACATATGACCCACAAGAAAACTTACACGGGTAAATGATCAAAGTAAAAGCCTGTTCATCCTTGCAGTCAAACTGAGACTACCTTTATTAGATGCTGAACATCATGGACAAGACAGCATGTGGTTGTCAAAGTGACAGTCCCAGTGTGGTTTAAATGTTAAGATTTCACTCCCGCAGAGAGCACAACACCACCAAGCCGAACAGCTGCAGTCCGTCAGTTGTGAGAAGAAAGTGAAAGAATGCTCAGAAGTTCACACTCTCACCAGGTTTCGCTTCACTGGATTGCCCACGTCCTGTATAGATTTCAAAAGTGCCCTCCAGTGATTCATCGGACACCTCTACAAAGGGCCCCAAAGCAGAGAGGGCCCACACCGGCAGGGGCTACAAAGGAGCAGCGCGCTTTATCTGCGCTGAGAAACAAAGACACGCGAGACAGCTACTGAGTTACTGCTACTCACTTTCTTTGTTTCACCGACGCCGGTCAGCTCTCATTTCTACCCTGCAGGTCTGACCTGTGCCTTGTTCCTACAAACCTTTCTAGAGACAGAACTGTGGGTCCCGTTTTGAGACACACATACATAGTCAATATCTGGTGGATTTCCATTGGTTGCTATAGAAATGATGTAAACGGCAGAATGATGCCAAGAGATATTTTCATACAACAACTGAGTGTGGCTCTCAGTGTGGAAAGAGAGGAGGGGAAAATGGAGATTCGGACCGTGCTCACATCTATCATGACATCTCTCCATGGTGCTGAACTCACGAGAGCATGACGAACATACACAACAGGCATTTTACACATTCATGCATGTATTGTGCAAAACCGCTGACTCACTCACTATTCATAGTGAATGTCACACCGTTCACGTGAGGAAGGTGTGAGTGAAAGTGAGTGTATTCAGACACAGCTTCAGACAATACTGCATACTTTGTATGTTACATAAGGATCATATCAAAATATTATGTTAGATATTATAATAATAATAATTATTATTAAATATTATTAAATACGTTATTTTAAATATTGCTTTATTATATGAGTGATAATAAATATTAATAACTAAAAGATTAAACTATTAATAATAGTAAAATATTTTAAATGTTAATTATAGCGTTAATAATATAATTATAAAAATAATAATAATACAAAACAATTGTTATTTTAGTTATATCAATGATAATAAACTAATAAAAATAATGATAATTATAAACAAATATTAGCAAGCATTAATAATAAACATTTGAATTTGTAATTGGATTTCACGTTTTTTCTTGTTCAAACTACAGAAAAGTATTTTTTTACTTTGCTGTCTGTCTAAATGCCTTAGAAAGGGATTTGTAAAATGTAAGACTAGTAAAGTGTGAAGTGTTTTTGGACATTTTTTTTTTACACTACCATTACAAAATGTACTGCAGTACTACTGTACAGTGAAGGTATCATGTGGTAATTTTATGAACTTTGGCATATTCCATGGTACTGAATCATTACCATATTCAGATTCCAAAATCAAATGTACAAACAAATGTCTAACAACATGGTATTAATTTTTTCTCTCTCTCTCTCTGTTTGGGAAACACTGAGGGATGAACATCAGCAAAGAATGATGTTTTGATGTATAGGTGCATCTCAATTAGGGCTGCAACTAACGATTATTTTGATAATCGATTAGTTGGCCGATTATTTTTCCGATTAATCGATTAATCGGATCTTCTCATTTCTTTCTTTTTTTGACAAAAAACACTTCCACATTCTGCCCAATGTCCTTTAAACAAGGAAGCATGAAGTGCTCGAAAATTTCTTGATAAACAGGTGCAGTGACGTTGGTTTTCAAAAAACACAATGGACCAACACCAGCAG